TCGCCTTCCGGATCGGAGTCTTCTCGCCGGAACCGACGTCGGTCGCGCGCATTGCGACCTCTGCGGTCGCCTCTGCGCGATCCGTCCGACTCGGTGTCCTCGTCATCGGAGGGGTATCCACCTCCTCCGGCATCGCGGTATCGCGTATAGCGTCCTTCGCGGTTATCATCGGAGGGGTAACCGACCCCTCCGGCATCGCGGTATCGCGTGTAGCGTCCGTTGCGGTTATCATCGGAGGGGTAACCGACCCCTCCGGCATCGCGGTATCGCGTGTAGCGTCCGTCGCGGTTCTTGCGCGTCGCCCTGTGGCGACGTCTTGTGTCTTCTTCCTCGGAGGGGTTTTCTGTACCCTCCGAGGTGTAGCCTTGAGCGCCGGGTGCGCTTCTTCTGCTCGACCGATACGGCTGTCGCTTTTCTGTCGCGAAGCGCCCCAGGCGGTTTTCTGTCCCGCGGGGGCCAGCCGTATCGGCGAGTACGGGAGGGCCATTTTCTGTGGGCCCTCCTGTAGCACCATAAATTGGTGGGAGGTAAATGGTCTTACCCTCCGGGTGAGGGGCCATTGTACCGATCCCGGGTGCGGCGCCGATCGGTTCAGCGTGCGTTAGCGTAGGATCCGGAGCGGTCGAGTCGCGCTGCTCGCGTGCGTCGACTCCTGCTCCGGCGAAGGTCGTGGCCAGACGATTGGCCACGGCGGAGCTGATCGCTCCCTTTAGAGCCGTACCGGACGGGGATTCTTCATCCACAGTGGTGAGCGCGGTCACCACCTCGCATTGGACTTGAGCGGGTAGAAGTTCGTCCAAAAGCGGTGGTATCGCGCTGCGTACGTGCGCATCCACGAGCGCGGGCACCGTTCGGTCGAGGCATACGCGCGCTACATGGGGGAGTTCCGTAGCGAGGAACTCCTCGACCCAGGCCTGGATGCGCGGCTGAATCGCGTCGACCATCCATTGGACGCGATTCTCGGTGCCTGCCGACACGGCCGGCGTAACATCCGATGCGGACGCTCGCGTGCGGCCCGGTCGCGGTGGCGGTCGCAGCAGGGCTTCCGGGTTCTCCACCCGGGGGCGCGGTGCGCCACTGCCACTGCGGGTGCTCAGACGCCCGGAGGCGGAGTCTCCCCCTTCTTCCGGTCGGTTCATCGTCGAATACGCTTCGCGATCGACGCGGTGATTTCTCAACCTTTTCCGTCCGTACGGTTCTGCGCGCGATCGAGCGACCACGCGTGCGGCTCAACCTCGAGAGTTATTCCCTCCACAAGAGTACCAAATGTGGTATAACTCCTCTCCGCCCTGGGTTGGGTGAGAGGCGGACGCTTTAGCGAGGGAGCACGCGGCGTGGACGCGACGCGCTAATTGAACCGATCGGACGAGCTCGCGAAAAGGGAGTGGCTCACTGGCCGGTTACGCGCAGTCGCCCCGTGGTGCGTGAACGGGAGCGACCGGTAACGGGTTAGAAGCCATCGCGCGCGATAGACAACCGAAACGGACGTATATAGGCGCGAAAGGGACGGGGGCGAGCTTGCCCCAGTTTACTGGTGGGGACGGGTGTCAGGTCTTAACCCCTCAGAGGGACGCCTCGGACACCTGTCCCAGTATACAGTACCTGCCGCCTAGTGCGTACCAGATACTGTACGCCATTAAAAAACTAGCGCCTCAATTCCTAATTACCGCGCGGACGCTGCGGCTACACGTGTGTACTACTGTACACACGCGCTGCTTACAGACTACCGCACGGATGCCACGTGTGCTAGCGTATACGCGTCATACTGGTAGACTACCGCTTGGCCGACACGTGCACTACTGTACACGTACGCCAGATTACGACCGCTCGGCATGCGCGCGCGCTCGCTACACGTGGGCACAGCCGCCCACGTGTATACCGTATAGTGTATACCGTATACGGCCGTCCGATGACCTCCGCGCGCTCGCGCCGGTCATTATACTACACGGTTCATCACTTCGGATAGCCCGTCCGTTTGCGGGTGGTGACTGGTGTACATGCGGGCCTTCACACCGCATAATGCCAGCAGCTCCGTCCAGAATCTGGAAGTGAATTGCGGGTCACGGTCACTCACGATATCGTCTGGTAACCCATGTAACGTAAAAATGTTTGTGAAGAAGGCCTTGGCACAGTCCGGGGCCGTATCCTTGGTTTTGCAAGGTATAAAATGCACCCTTCTTGAGAGACGATCTACCCATGTTGTTATTGCATCGAAACCGCTTCCAGTGCGGGGTAATTGCACGATAAAGTCGGTCGAAATGGATCCCCATCTACGCGTCGGTGCTTGTAAAGGTTGTGGAACATTGAAGCGCTTCTGATTGCTATCTTTGTTCTGCTGACACACTAAGCACCCCTCACAATAGCGCCTCACATCGACTTATGCTTCCAGTGATAACTCGCTACCCGAGCCAATGTTTTAGCAAACCCAAAGTGCCCTGCCACCCTGCAGTCGTGTGCCAGATTTAGTAGCTCCGGAACGCATTTCCGAGGTACACAAACGCGATCTTTGTAGTACAGGAGGTCTGCCTTCACACAGAAGTAGGGAAGCAATCGGGTCATGCGATTGGACTCGATGAAGTCTTTGCACCCTTCCCCGGTGAGAGAACTCCACATAGGACTGAACAGCTGGTCCTTTAAATAATTCTTCTTAAAGTCCATGTTGATAGTTACAACTGAGGCCTCGAAATTTCCAACTTCCAACTTACCTGAAATTACATGTAGTGCCCTAGAAAGCACGTCCCCGAGGACATGAACCCGACCAGGGCGCAGGCTCATTTTTGTTATTCCGAATTGCCCAAATAATTCCAGCCAACGCGCCTCCTTCCTGGACAAATTCGGCTTCGTGAAGAAGTAGTTCAAGATTTGGTTGTCCGTGAAAACTTCGAAAGATGCACCCTCCAAGTAGCACCGAAAACGTTTCAAACAATAAACAAGACCCAACAGTTCTCTCTCGTTAGCTGTACATTTGACCTCTTCATCTGAAAGTTTTCGAGAATAATATGCTATAACTCGCTCCCCTTTCTCGTCATCTAGCTGTGTTAATGTACCCCCAACAGCGTTCTGGGAGGCATCCACATGACAGCGGAAAGGTTTTGTCCAGTTAGGAGGTACAAGTACAGGAGCAGACACGAGGGCACCCTTCAGGTCTAGGAACGCATCATCACATTCTGGACCCCATTTCCGAATTCCCATACCCTTCCTCGTGAGGGCTGTTAGAGCTGTTGCTCTGGCGGAGAAACCCTTCATAAACCGGCGAAATAACTGGAGAAGGCCAATAAAACTTCGCAATTCTGTGAGAGAGGTCGGCTTGGGCCATGTACTTATTACTTTTGCTTTAGCTGGATTCACTTTGATACCGTTCCTCCCCACCAGCAATCCAAGAAACTCTGTCTCCACGGTCATGAACTTACACTTCTTCCTGGCAACGTACAGTTCCTCCGATTTCAGACGAGCAAGGATTGTCTCCAGATGCTGTAGGTGCTCCTCCTCAGTTTTGCTGAACACAAGCAAGTCATCCATGTAAACCACGAGATATACATCGATGCAGTCCTGGAATATCATGTTCATGAGAGTCTGGAAAGTCGCTGGTGCATTACAGAGACCCATTGGTAACACGAGGTACTCAAAGTGACCATACTTCGTCTTGAAAGCAGTCTTCTCAACATCCTCTGGTCGTACTCTGATTTGATGAAATCCAGTCTTCAGGTCCAGCTTTGAGAAGAACCGAGCCTCCCGTAAACGGTCAAAAATTTCGTCACATCGGGGTAGCGGCGTACTGTTACGTTTCGTTATTCTGTTAAGCCCCCTGTAGTCGACTACTGCGCGCAATTTACCCGGTTCTTTCACAAGAAATAAGGAAGCTCTAAATGGAGACTTACTGCGACGTATCTTCCCTTTCTTCAGTAAATCAACAACGTATTCCTTGACGGCCATCAATTCCGCCGGAGATAATTGGAATAATGGCTTGTTAGGGGGCCTTGCTCCGTCTTCAAGTTCTATAGCATGGTCGACAGATCTTCTCGGGGGGAGACCTGAAGGAAGTTCATGACGGAAAACTGTTGAATATTTGGAAAGGAGGTCGTCAAGCTTCTTACTCCCTTTTGATTCCTTTCCAACCCCTGAGGCCAAGACGTTGTTGGTCTGCGCTACTTGATATACACAGAAATCCTCCCGACTTCCCTTTTTGCGCAACAGAGACCAAAATTTCTTCACGCCAAGGTTCGTTACCTGAACCCCTCCGTTATGGACTTTTACGGGCATCTGCGGAAGTGGCTCGCCATCCACAGTAATCTTTGGCAAGCTGTAGTCCACTTCCGGCTTTGCCTGGATATGCCATGGCATCCCTAACAATACATCATACCGACAATCAGCGACGGCCCAGTTGCTGATATACTGATGTGTCCCGATCTGCAACTTTCCCTGCACGATAACTTGTGTTGCGAGTTCAGAAGTGTCCAGTGTGTACCTCTACCGGATAGTCGTTCGAAATAAAGAAAGGGGTACGTAACAAAAATTCAAGAATAAAAAGGGTACTTGGCAAAAACTCTCCATAACAGCGCGTTATTTTACGGACAACCTTACCAAACCCCGATCCAAATCCTCAAAGTCTCTCAGTTTCTGCGAATCTCATTCCAACCATACCCCCCAATTTCTGACCTCTTTCCTGCTTTTCTCTCCGTGCCCCAAATTCCCGGAAGGTCCCAGTCCTCTCGCTTGTCTGGTGGTCTACCCTTCGAAGGGTACAGAATCGCGCAGACAAACCGCAAAACTTGTTCCGCTCTCACCCCTGACCCATGTTTGTTTTATGGAAGACGTAGATCCTTTTCGCGAGTATAGCATTCTCTCTCACAGCTCCTCCAGTGCGCCGCCTCCAGTCCCTCTCCCTGCCTCGGCATTGAAAACCGCAGGGAGCGTCCTTGGCGGTCTTGCAGAGTACACTGCTTTCCTGTCCAAGCTCGATGCCGCCTTGGGAAGAAACGACAGAGCGCTATGGATAAGAAATGCGCTATACGTCGCGGCCTTTGAGATCTTGCTGTCTCGGCGAAAGGAGAAGAGAGGAATTACATGCTGGTTTACAGGTCGCAGAGAGCACACCTCTTCCGCCAACCTTCGTAGCACTCTCGAAAAACATGCCCAAACGTTTGGCTGTAGCATTGCAGAATTATACTTTGCGCTGCATACGGGGGCTATGCATGAAATCGCGAACCACTACGCACCTGGAGTTGTCAATGGAGTGCTTCGGGACATAGAGAATTTGCTGCTTTCTGCACGCACTAGAGACATCGATTGCTCAACATGGACGGGGATCGTGGACAAAGAGAGCAAACTAAACCAAGACACGCGGTTCCACGCAGGTCCTGGCTCTGGTTCAGTATCTTATACCATGTCAGGAGCTATACAAGGAGGCCTGACAACAGCCTTCGATCCTGCTGACGAGGAGGAGGTGTCAAATCTGTACGAGTACTTGTATGGCAAAGATGAACAACGTCCTGTCGCAAGCGATCCCGATCCCGATGCGCGAATAGTAGCTGTTTCTTATCGTCACTCTGCAAGCAAACCTAGAATGTCGAAGATTTCGTTCACGGCCGTAGCGCTTACGTTGCAGGAGCTTGGAGTAAGAAAAGTCCAGCTCTGGTTGGATCGGAATGTGGCGAAAAGCGATACAACCTTTTGGGCTCCAAGAGGGTTGCTTCCTTACACGGTCTTACCAGTGCTTATTGTAAATGACGAAAAGTACGAAAACGGTTCAGATCGCATGTGGATATCGCTCGAAAGGGAGGCCGGCACAGACGGTGGAAGGCTGTTTTATGTTCACGGCAAACACACCAAGCGTTCGTTTCTTCCTAACGGCGATGGAAGGCTGGCCGTGGCTGTTGCCATTCTGATGACGAAGTATAATGCGGAAACAGTGAGATACAAAACGGAGGAAGTCGACTTGAAGAAATGGGCCCATGATTTCATAAACTCGGCGACCGCAAGAAGTTTTCTCGGGATCGGGGATAGACTTCTGGCCGGCACGATCCCACCTGTTACTATTGGGGCAGCCCTAGCGGCTTGTTGCGAAGTGGATCATGACCGGGGGGTGCCCTTCAGGGAGACTTGTGAGAAATATTATAATATATTATATATACATAATAATATAATATATTCCAGACATGCTGAAGTTCAGCTGGGTCGGACGGATGAATATATCCAACAACTGAGCGAGCTACGTAAGCGACGAGAGGTTTTCGTTTTACTAGAGGGGAAGACATACCTCGCGCGATGGGGTACGCTTTCAACTCCCCTGGTGTACGACGTCACATTGAGCAAAGCCACTGGAAGTTCATTGCGAATAGAAGAAATGATGCCGCTTAAGAATTCTGCTGTTGCAAAGAAACACGCAGTTCTCCTTCATGCATGCAGGCACTGAATGCTCGTAATTTGATGCCAACGTTTGCATTGGATACGCAGCAGTACCCTAAAAGTTAACCCACGGAAGTCATGTGCCTCTGGCACTGCAGAAAGGACCCGCCTGGTACAGTGAGTATGTCGGGAAGCATACGCAAAAATCACAGCGCCGCAACACCCAAGTTCCTTTGGAGATAGTCCCGCTAAGGGGGCCCGGTGCACTTGAATGTGCAAAACCTCCCCTTCCTGGCAGCGAGACGCTGCTCGTGGGAAGCTCTCGCCCTAGCCTTCATCCCTCCCTCGCCCGTTCCAACACTGTCACGTCAACTCACAGCCACCCCGCTATTCCTCTTCATTTTCCCTTCCGCCACGTAAGCCCCGCCATGTCGCTCTCCAGCCTCCTTCCCTTCCTCATTTTCGGTCTCTTCTCTGCCCCGCAAGAGTCGACGTAGGCACAACTGCTGCGCGAGCTTCTCGCGCTTCTGGACCACTCCCGGGCGCTTCGACTGCCCGTGACCAAATCAAGCGCTATCTGAATATGCTCGCTGTGATTGATTGCAAGAGGTGTCCGAGGCGCTCTGTAGTCTATCCCCGGGTCGACTGCAACACTGCGCCGGGAGCCGAAGAATATGCCGAGGGAGACAATAAACATGCCGAAGAGGCGAGGAATTTGCCCAGGGAGACAAAAATATTTCGCCGTGCAAGCCTCGGCATTTGATGCCAGGTCCTTCAGACTATTGCTGCGGACTTTGTTCAATGCCCTTTCATGAACGCAGTGCACTGGACCATCATTTTCGGGAACAACACAATGGCAATGCGTCTCAACAGCCTTTTGAGAGTAGGCCACCCAACTAATGCAACCCATTGCCGAGCCTTGGAACCCCCCTCCGACAAGCCACCCATAACCGCCAGTCTATTGTCAGGACAGTGACCGGCACAACGCATTGGAGGGATAATTGGATGACGATATCTGTCCGAGACGTGGTGTCCTATCAGAATATTGGGTCGGCAGTGCCGGGCACGAAGTGGTGCCTACACACAACGCATAAACAATGAGCACACTCTATCACAATCTATCAGTACTTTACTACAGCATGTGTATTCGACTAGAAGGACATGCCCGTAGATGGCAATGCAAAAGAATTGTCATTGTTTGCTGGATATCGCTACTACATATGCTGTACTCTGCACATCCCTCTCCAACTATCTCCTGGCTAGGGGGCACTCCATTGTTTATGCGTTGCGCATTGTAGGCACCACTTCACTACAATGACCATACTTCTGCATTGCCATCTACGGGCATGTCCTTCTGGTCGTGTCAAGCATTTCGGGAAAACAATTTCGTCTGATCTTCATCCTGCGAAAAATGGAGCTTGTTGATTTATTTTGGTTGTCTCGTATTCTTCCCCGGTGTCCGACCGTTGGGTACTCAGCTACTCTTTAAGTACCATGTTTCTGTGTGAGTAATACTCAAACACTCTCGGCAATGGTTGCTGATAAAATGCAGTAGCCGACCGGTATGATCGGTTTGATTGCATTTTCGTGCTGTGCATTGTTTTATGACAATGACCGTATTTTCACACTTCTGGTCGTGTCAAGCATTTCGGGAAAACAATTTCGTCTGATCTTCATCCGAGAAATTCGCATACAGTGTTATTAACATTATTTTGCGGGAACTGGGTTTGCTGTGCAGTAATCTATCAGTTCTTGCCAAGAACTGATAGATTACTGTATAGCAGGCAAGAACTTCTTGCTATGTGTATTCGACTAGCGATGAGGAGGATCGGTTTGGGTTCAAAACCTCAAAACCCTCCAATGCATGATTACGGTACCGACGCTGTGTGTGCTTCAGATATTGGCATGACATGGCATGACAGTGGCTCTGTTTAGATGTCTTGAGTCGGACGTACCCGTTCTGTCCGACTGACATCTATATAACGCCGCTTCTCCGGCTTGACAGACAATCACCGACAGCATCTCGAACAACCCTACCCACTCAAAAATGTCGGTCTGCCCTGCCCTTGCACTCTTCTTTGTTTCTTTTATCATCGCCTCGGCACAATCCACCTCCAATAACTGTGATAGAGGCTTTTTCTTCAACGGTACACGGTGCCGAGAATGCCCGGCCGGCACCTATCAGGATGAACGCCGTGCCGGCAGTTGTAAGAAATGTCCCCCTGGAACGTTCAGCGAAATACCCGGGATGGTTGGAATCGATTTATGTCTTCCGTGTCCTGCCGGGACGTTTTTGACAAAACGGGGAAACCCGTCCGAAGCTAATTGCATCAAATGCCCTCCCGGCCAGTCTTCCGTACGAGGTTCGATCTCTTGCGCTCGCTGCAATCCTGGCACTTTTCTTGTCGCAAGAAGAGATCGCTTAGAATGGAACCGAAGAAGACCGACTTGCAGAAATTGCCCTATGAACACGTTCAGTGCCATGCCTAATGCTAAAAAATGTACGCCGTGTCCGATATCTCTTGTGAGCACTGAAGGAAAAGCGATATGCACCAAATGCAGACCAGGATTTCGTTTAACCATAGAAGATCTTCCCGGTAGGAGATGTGTGAGGTGCAACTCCTTCAAAGTCAGTGATGGAACTACGCCTTGTCTGCGGTGCCCTCCCGGGTTTTTCAATAGACGGTCTGTAGGCGCCTCCACTTGTAGGCCATGTCCCCCGGGAACAACGTCATCACAGAATGGCGACAAGTGTGAAAAATGCCTTGCAGGCAGCGTTAGAGGAACTGGATCACCGTTCTGTCTTCCACGAGACACTCCCTGCCCGGAGAACTACTTTCTCAACGGCGCGAACGCATGCCAGACGTGCAGTAAAAGCGAGCGTTTTGACGAAAAGACCAAGAAATGCATTTCATGTGGCCGAAACATGGAGAGCAAAGGCGGCCTTTCCCAAATATGCGAAAAGTGCCCCTCCGATCGCGTTTCGGGCAGAAATGGTTGTGTCTGCAAACCGGGATTGGCCATCGACCGAGATGGATCGTGCTTTCGTTGTCCAGCTGGTCAAATATGGGATGGGGACTTCTGCAGGGAATGTGATGGCCTGTTTGAAATTGTCCCTCCAGGTTCGCTTTCCTGCTCCGAGTGTCCGCCAGGCACAGTTCCATCTTTTCCGTTTGCTCGTTGTGAGACCTGTCCAAACGGCACACGGCCCTCAATGGATATCGGCTTTAACTCCAAATTGACTGCAAGGTGCGTTGATGTTAAGACTGGGTGCCGCCCCGGGTTCCTCCGCAATCTTCTTGACGGAAACTTTCGGGATTGCCACCCCGCATCCTGCCCACCTGGGACAGTAGAACAACTCGTCAACTTTGGTTTTTCCGACAGGACACGCATCTGTCACGACTGTCTTCGTGGTGAGTTCTTCAATCGCGTTAAATGTAAACGTTGTCCAGGGAATGCAGTCAGTCCTGGAGGTCTTGTCAACAGCTGTCAACGGTGTCCTCGGGGGATGGAGCCGGATCCCGAAGATCTAAGTCGATGTGCTTGCCTCTCCACGTTCTCAGAAGCAAGGGGAATGGTAAACGGGATTTGCGCGCCATGCCCGAAAGGAATGTTTGGCTTCCTTCTTAGTGAGCTTGGGTGTCGCAAGTGCCCGTCCGGTCTAGTATCAGCGAGGAGGGGAGCTTTCGAATGCAAGCTTTGTCCCATTGGGTCAGTTGCAAACAAGAATCAGACTGGCTGCGAAGAATGCGTCTCCGGGACGACAAGCTTTGGAGTCGGCGAAACGACTTGTGTTGCTGTCGGATCTTTGAAGAATCGCAAGTAAACGTATAACTTTGCGTGTGAAGCCAGGAGAAGAGGGCCGCAACTAATCTAAACGTGGAATAAACATAAAGTTATATACGGCGCCCTCGCCGCCTTGGCGCCGGCACAGCTGCCTTCCAAACGCCTTGTAAAACGCCTCCAGCAACACATGCCGCTCCCCACCCCGCAGCCTCCTCAGCTGCAAGACGGCAGGCACGGGCAGCCCATACGGGTCATCCTTCTCCGCGCAACGCCCCAGGTCGTCTGCGACAGCCTCCCTCGCGGCGTGCCTGCTCGATGGCCGCGCGCGAGATGTCCGGGCGGACGACAGGTGGGCGTCGTAGCGGCGCGTGGACAGGTGCAAGGGGCGCTTGAGAGACTCGGAGGTGCGGCGTAGGCGGGCGCTGGGCTGAAGGGCAGAGCGGGCAAAGACAGGGTTCGCGTCAGGTGGGTGGCGTGAGCGAGCGCCTCCTCGCGGCTAGACGGGATCGGGGCTGGGGCTGGTGGGGAGGACGGGGTGGCGGCGTTGAGAGGCCATTGTAGGCTGTGAGGCGCGTGGTGCGAGGGTTGC